ACACTGGGAATCCAAATTCTAGGATTACAAGATTACACTTGTACACTTATTCAAAGTGATGGGTTAAATAGAAAACAGTGCTGAAGTCATACAGTTAAGTAGATTTACTGAACCTAGAATGCTCAGTAAGACTTTTAAAGAAAAGTCTAAAATCTTTGGACTGAAAGCGAAGGGTTGAAATTGTCCTATAGCTTTCAAGATGATGCATACTGAGCAAATCACAGATAAAAAAAGCTAAAATCAGCGAAATCCCAAATTGTTGTTTTTTCCACTACATTGCTCTGGATAACTCCATTCTCCCTTCTGTGGCGATGAACTCCTTTTCTGTGGCTCGTTTATCACCTTGACACAGTCTCTCCTTCAGTTTTTCAAGTTCATACTCATGTAGGATTTTCTGTGTTAAATATTTTTCACGTTTTATTTTGGCTTTCACGTCTGCAGGGACATCAGGAATCATCCATGCTACAAAGAATTTGACGATGAATACAACATGCTGGGGAGGGGAAAAAAAAAAAAAAAAGAGGAAGCCAGGAGAAATGTAACAAGTCCTTACCAAACAAAACACCTATTGTTTCATCTAACACCAAACAGATCACTTTTTGCTCACAAACAGAATACATTACCTTTGGCTGTCCTGGAACAATACATAACAAACTAGTGTCTGTCTGAGATGTGCACAAAGATTTTATGCAGAAACTTTAATTCCAAGCCACTTACGAATTAGCAAACCCAAGAGGAAAGTGTCAGGTTCTGAATCCCTAGCATCACTTTCTAATACTGCTGTGTGGTTTCTTAGAGAAGTTACATGGCAGTGCTGGTGACGCTTAGCTATTGAGAACTGGCAAGATAGGGTAAGAAAAGTGATGAGAAGAGAACTTTAACAACTCCCTTTTCCCTTCAGAACTTGCAAGGTAGCGGCTTAATACTGAAGTACCAATTATCTAAATTATTGATTTAGCTATTTTTTGCCAATACACATCACTGCAAAATGCCTTCTGCGTTTTCAATACAGCCATCTCACGTACAGCTCTTTAATGAAACCAGCAGGAGTGAAAGTGCTAGTCCTGGTGGTTCATGTCTCCCACCTGCATAAAGACCTTTTTTATTCTGCTGTTTTATTTTGATCAAACTTAGCAGTCTCCTCTGCTGTTTTCACTGTTGTTACTCTGAGGTTAACTCCCCGAAGTTAAAAGACCTAGTTATAGTAATCATTTAGGACATGAGCATTTGGCATTGCTTGGGGAAGAAACTGTTTTATATTCTCAGCAATTCCATTTTCTATAACAGCTGTGACTACCTAGAGAATCTATAAGGTACCGATTTTGGAAGGAAATTTTGTAGGGAACATACCTCCATAATAATTATAAAAGCCAGTTTTGCAGCAAGAATGTGCCAGAACTGCATAGTGTGTAAATATTTCCTCTCATGATCTGGAGGATATCGATAGTCTCTGTACCTGTTGGATAGAAAGACAAGCAAAGGTGAAATGTCACATTCAGTCTGAGACAGACTACAAGCTCAGTGACACTTACAGGCAAATACAGCTGTCACTTAAGGAACGTTTTCTCTTGTTTTAAATGCTCTGTTTCCTTTTGCAGAAAAAGGTTGCCTCTCAATTTGTTTCTCTCATGTTTGCTTAAACACCCTCACATTCACAGCAACAGAGGAGAGATGAGGATGTGTGAGAAGTGGGATTTTGTATGTAGGTTACTCTTTTTTTCAGGCAATGATCAAATAATACAGGATGGAGTGATGGAATGTACCACAGAGTAGTGGACAAGTATTGAATAAATGTGACAGATGTTGACAGGTTATGGACTGGACAGATGCAAGGTTTAATGGAAGGAAAGTCTTGAGTACATGTTCTACACTGACATGTCTAAGTTGGGTAAATGCCCCTGGAGCTTTAAAGCTAAAACATCATACAAATGCAGCTGCTTCTTCAAGTCTGGGGTTTTTTTTGTTTGGCTCATTTGTTTGGGGATTTTTTTTCCCATCAAATCAATACTTTTACCATGGACTTCTCCAAAGTTCTTTCTCAGTTCTTCTAAAACCTGCAATGCTTCTTCTAGGAAGAAAGGACTTTTTTTTTTTAATGAAAGCAGGATGGCCCAGATCCTTGGTGCAGTAACGACCGACTGTAAATACCGTATTTCATTTTCAGCTTTGGAATCTAAACATCCCCTTAATGATACTTCCCTGCACTTAGGCATTGCAGCCTAAAAATCTTAGAAGATATAAGCTGAAGTTTGCAACCTTAGGGACATAAATCTCCTCCATCACCCAAAAATCAATTGTTTAATTATGTATAAAACAAAAAACATTAGTAATGAGACTCTCAAACAACAAAAAGGCGATTTTTTTCATGACTGACATGGATCTCTTACCATCTTAAGCACTGGCTTGTTAATAGCTTAAATTACCTCTCATACTTCAGAAGCAGGAGAATGACATCATCGAATTCCTAGTGAACTACTTCAATCTGCATTGACTTTTTATGCTGTATTCTAAACAAACTAATAAAACATTTATTATTATACCAACACCAACCTGCATATGACTAAGTTTTCTGGATTCAGTTTAGGCTTGTTTCTGTCAGGAAAATCTGAGATTTGAAACACTGACAAACTATTGTTTATGTATCCAGACATAGGCGAGTCTTCATTTTCAGAATAAGCATAGTAGTAAACCAAACGAGGAATCATATCTGATGTGAATGCAACAATAAAAGCCTGAAAAAGAAATTGGAAAAAGAAATTAAGGAAGCGGCACACAAAACTTATGAGCAGATTTATAAAAGGGGTTTTGGTACTGTGACTCTGTGCCATAACCCAGGATCTTTGAAGGAAGGGTGAGCAGGATTAGGGCACTTCACCTTGGTAAAGGTGCTGACTGCAGCCTCTGCTGCAAGGACCAGCACTCAATGAACAAAATACGTGAACAGTCCTTACGAGAGGCACCAAATCCCAAGTATCCCCTCCCACCGAACTGTCTTCTATCTGGGATTAACAGCACTCCTTAGTGAAAGGGGAGATGTGATTTTGAATTCTTGTGAGAAAGGATGAACTCGAATCCAGTGTGTGATCACTTCACGAAAGAAAGGGAGCCATTTTCTCCCGCTGTATTTAAAAAAGAAACAATGGCTACCATTTGCCCGCAAACCTGAGATACTTAAGATGCTTGGGTACCTTGCTAATTAGGCAATACCTGCAAGTGGGTTTGTTGCCTAAGACACTTGCAGATCTCATACCGTTTCATATTCTACATTAAGAAGAGGCAACTCTCTTGCTCAACAGTCTGCTTTACATTATACTGAAGATGAAATACTAGCATAGCATTTAGTTACCAGTTTATAAAAAGTACTCTGAGCCACTGCCCCCATAGGGGCATCCAGAAGCAAGTGAAAGAGCAGAATTCCCACAGAATAGGCCTCATAGTGACAAGATAGAAATGTCATCCAGCCACCAGAATTAATCCACCTCTCCTGTCCCCTACAGTCCCCTCTGGGCAATCAGTGTGCTTCACCAGACTAAGCTTCAGACTGGCTTACGCCACTCCAAAATGCTGAAAAACATGTAGGAGTGAAAGAAAGATTATGGTCCCATGAAATGTGGACTGGCAGCTGCATGTCGGCAACACATGGACAAGCCGAACCACCCAAGTGGTTTGACCGTATCTCCAGAAGGTAACATGCGATAAAGTGAACACTGTTGATGAAGGAGAAAAAGCATCAGCTGATTTTTAAATCTGCAAATTCTGAGTATATGGAAGAATCAGAACCAATGTGGCACAGTCAACATACTTACATTAGTGACAACAGACAAGATGGCCATTCCGTTCAGGATTTCTTGCCAGACTCCTATGCTATGTGCTTTCGCAGCCACAGGTCTCCTGTACTGAGTGGTTAATTTCCAGGAGTCTACTCGAATCTCCAGGATATTATTCATCAGAGCAAGAAGGGGAGCCAGGGGAAAGGACGCCACGAAGAGAGTAATGAATCCAAACTGAATGACTGCAAGGGAGAAAAGAAAAGGTGCCAAAATCTGCCCCTACAAAGTGCCCTCAGAGTGATAGTGAAATCACAGAATCTTTAAGGTTGGAAAAGATCTTTAAGATCATCAGGTCCAACCATTAACCCAACACCACCATGCCCACTAAACCATATGCAAGTTGCCGCTCGCAGACCAACGGCAAATTTCTGCCAGGCTGCACAAGTCCTCTCCAGGCCCAACCTGAGCTAAGCGATGTGCCCCAGCCTTGAGACTTCTCTACTCCCTCAGGGCTGCCTTTCAGCAGCATCCAAGGGAACGGGGCTTTTGAGTCCTGTTGAATCATGCTGCCAGCAGTGCTGGATACCAATTCTTTCATGGTGCTGCAGTTCTCTCATGAAGGGAACATAACTGTAGGCGAAGGGGAACATACTCGTAATCAACTTTCTGGATTACAAGAGAGGAACAAAACCAGGCTACTTTTCCTCTCTGTTTGTACAGAGCAAGCCTGTTCTCCTTTTACTTACCAGCTAGTCTCCTAAATGAAAGAGAGGAAATACTTTTACTTTTATCACAACCTTACCTCCACCTATTGTTATTGGTGTAGACAAAATATGAATACCAATTCTGTATGTAATAGTTCCACTGGGGAGTCAACACTAGTTTAAGAATGCAAATAAAATACACAGACGATCCCTTTAGTCATTACCAAAATGAAATGCCTCTTGGTACAGAATGTGACAGTCCTCAGTGCAGAGCCAATACTGCCACTATATTTTAAAGTTAGGAAATAGAACATCTTGTCTGGTTTAGGCAGCAGATAAAAATAAATTCCCATACACCAGTCACCAGCTCTTCCCTTCATCTTAGACAAGCAACAAAATTCCTACTAGCTTAGCAGCCCCAGGACAGTGCTGGAGTGTACCGGTTCAGTTCTGCTTCAGGAAGAGCAAGGACATCTATTAACAGGCATGGCTGACAGCACTGAGTGCTCTGAGTGTATTAATTTCACAAGATCACAGCCCTGTACAAAATATCATGAAGTGATGATAATAAAGCTACACATCTCTAGGCAACACTTCAAATTATTTCTGTAGAAATAAAACAATACAAAGGTCCACTTTTCAACAAATTTTGTCCTTATAACAGACAAGTATTCATTTTTTTTTAGTGTCTTTAGATTTAGTTTGGCTTCAGGTTCTAATTTTAGTTTCTCACGTTTTGTAAGCTAATTTCATATGCTGACCTGTTCACATTACCTTTGAAAAATCCTATTCTGTTACCCATGCTCCCTCTGCTGGTCTGCTGGACTGTAGTCAGCGCAAACCTAAAACTAAACAGATTCTCCCCGATCCAGTTCGTAGTTCTCATAGCTGCAGTACCCATCCTTACAGCATATTTGGCACTCATTCTATACTTACAACTTCCACTGACGTCAGCTGAGAATATGCTTGGGAACAAGAACAGAACAGACACTGAGACAGCTGGCTGCACCGAGAATAACGCTCCCCATTCAAATGAGGGAAACAAACAGTCTTTGCAGCATTTCTGTGAAATTCCCTGCAGTCTAAGATGCAAAGGCAGCTTGCCTTTTTCTTCCCCCCGCCCCCACTGGGCTGACCTATTTAATGATTTCCAGCAGTTAATGGTCTACTGTTTACCAGATGAAAGTGGTGGCATCAATCCATAACAATTAATTAAGAAACTATTTTTTTTGGAATGGTGTCAGTACAAGGTGTCTTGTCCTCAATTCCAAATGTGTATTTTTAAACTTACCCATTTCTAGATATTCATAGAACAGGCCTAAGGCTCCAAATGTCTGCAGATCATGGTCTTGCTCCCAGCGACTGTATAAATTTTCTGGATTGTTTCTGGCTTTCCGGCGACCCCACCAGTTACAAATCCAGCTGTATATGCAGAAAAAAGTTAACAATGAGAGAAGCAGATCAAGTTTCCCTTTCTCTAAGCAATGTCTTTGTTGCAACATGCTTTTACAAGCAAGGCTTTAACAAAAAGAGGCCAAAAGCCTCTATGAAATGAGTCTACTTGTCAGAATTTGTGCTTAACTGACAGAATTTTTCTCAGCTTCTTCATATGGCGATACTTGTTATCGCTCCTTCCAAGAATTGCCTCTGTCTATAACATGGGCATCTCAGCGTATGAGGTAACTTACGGTACAATGGCCTCTTGGATATTTCCCCAGATCTGTTTGCCAGCCATGACTATGGTGAGCTGTGTCGTCAATTCTATCAAACAGCCCGCAGGATCACACTGGCAGAGACAAATGGGGGATAATGGACATTAATAATGGATATTACACAAGTAAATTATATCTTGCTACTGTATAAATGAAGGAGAGAAGAGGAGTTATTAAAACTTGTTAGGACAATACTTAATTTTCACCTGGACTGCCAGCTAAGTTACCCTCTCAGGAAAGCTGATACAGAAGGGCTTTCAATGCTCAACACACTTGACAAAACACACACCAAAACATAACGAGCATTTAAAGACAGAATAATTCAGGGATGCTTTGGGCCGACCCCTGTGCAGATACACAAAGACGGGCCGCAGGATCCGCATGCAGCAGCCACCCCGCAGCCCCAGCAAGGTGCATCTATGGCGCTCGGTTAGCTCTTGACGCCAGACCAACCCTGACCTAGCAATCACCTGCACTTTCTATTCATATTCCTGCAGCAGAGGTATTTAAGTATCTGCCAGTATCCGGTCTCTGCTGTTTGCTGAGAACACTAGTTTTAAAGTTTCAACTCTTTCTTGAGGCCTTCTTAAGAATTTAGCAGCCAGACTGGTATTAGGAGATACTCTATCACTAAGCGCAATGCATTACTGCATTGTGTTTTGCATGAAGTTTTTCCTTCGCTATCGACTCCCAACCAATGCTTCATATTAAGTATTGTATTTTATCTCTGTACAAAAAGCATAATCAGAAATGAAATGAGGGGAAAAAAGCAAAAGCTTATAGATGTGCCTCTTACCAAATGGTTTCTCTGAAAATGTAGTGCCTCAAAAAGCTTATGAAGACACCTGAAAGCCAGAGACCATTTCCATTTACACTAGCTTTCTTCAACCTAGAGAAGTGCTTTTAAGACCTGTGGCGAGATCCACTAGTATTTTAGGGGGACTGGCGGCCAAGAAAAGCTTTTTGACAGAGCCACAGATTTTCACTGCTGGTGCATTCCCGACTAGCAACAGTAGGAGTCGTCCTTGGAAGCCCCTCCATCAGCCTCAGGATGGCCAGCTGAGGTCCAGCTCATTCCAGACCAAACCTGCAGCTGGCAATTTATGACTGCACAGGTTGGAGGGGATAAAGAGTTTAAACTAGTTTGTTATTATTCAATCCACCTTAATCAAGATAGTCCTACCTCTTCATTTCGCCAGCGATTAAACATGTATGTGTAGGCACCTGGGTAACCAACAAACTTCCCTTTGAAGAAGGCCACGTAGAAGCAGGATGAATAGTAATTGACAAACTGGAACAGAAACATTTTCATAGTGAGCCTGTTCTCATACTCCATGTGAGTTCGGGGAATCTCTGTGAAACCAGAAAACAGTAATTTCATTTTCCTGTATTCCTTTTAAAAGGATACAGATTCATAAGCACTCATTACCCACAGTGCCTTTACAGCCCAAAAGAAAAAAAAAAAAAAAAGAAAAAAACACCCACAGACAGTTCAACAGATGGAATTCCTGCTCTCAGACACTCTGCCTTTAATGTACAATGCAACGCTCCAAGCAGACAGGCAAGTGAAATTCATTGTTGAAATATTTAGAAGCTTCAATTTCCCCTTCTTTGTACCATCCACTAGCACTTGTCCATCCCAAAATCTTACACTATTTTTAGGAGATCCAAGATGAATCTCAAACATTAACTAGCAAGGTCTTCTAGACTATGAAAATTTCACTGTTGGCAATGCACATGATAAAGAATATTTATTTTCTTCGTGGTAGAGAAGTACGTTACAGGATTGTTTTTTTGAATAAGTTGTATGGGTGTAGCTTCTATAGAAATCAGCAGAAACTGGATGGGTCCTGTGCCTCTGAAAGATGAGGCTCATAGTGGAGGGAAGAATAGGGAAGGATACAGGCATCTCGGTGGTACTGAACATCACCAAGCCTTTGCTTAAGATTTTGCTGCCTTTGTAATGACGTTGTCCATCATGTTTACATTTTTAAAGGTAACAGGAAGCCCTACACACATTATGGGTAAAACGTCCTGTTAAATGATAACATATAACCAATTCAAGCCGGGAGAAAGGGGAAGAAAATACACCACAAGCATTTGCGTCCCTCTGAATTAGTTAGGACCCAGCAGTTGAACTCACAGGCCCTATGGCAAAGTTATTTTATGTAGCCGAGTAAATTAACATTTCCAGGCTTGAAATAAATTTGCATAACAAGGTATTTTCTGGGAACCTGCAGTGTACTACAGAGGAGGCAGTACTCAGGTGCAGCAGTCTGCCTAGGTTGCAGCTTGTTACAGGGTTTTTATTGGCAGTGAGCTGTTCAAATGTTCATGTGAGACACTCAATGTTCAGAGCACCAGAGATAGATTTTGTTTTCAGACATGCAGGTATAACCTGGCCTAACCTTTTTAAGGAATTCAGGTGTGAAAAGAGTTAGAACAGCCAATATTTCAGACCCTGCACCCAACCAGGTCTCTAAGCCGGGTCTCTAAGCCAGGGCCGCCAGTGGAGGGCAGCGGTCCCACAAAAGTGAACATTTATTTTCTCTCCCTGTACTGGATAACCACAGGTAATGCTGACACTTCAGAAATTAATCCTCCACACTTTGCAGGCAGCAAAATAACATTGCTGAGCCTTCATGCTTATAATTCATGCCCTTCAAGAATTAAAAATCTAAAAAATTATGATCTTCTGGACTTTAAGTTGTTGTTGGGTTTTTGTTTGTTTGGGGGTTTTTTGTTTGTTTGTTTGTTTGTTTTTCCTAGGGGCAACTTTACATATTACATCTTCTGTCTGTCTTTGGTCTAATTTGGCCAAGTGAGATAAACAATACAGATCCCTGAGACAAGAGATGGTCCACGATAAGTCGTAATAAACCCTATGCAATGTCCCATTAAGTTTCTGCAAGAAATAACTCTCAATTCTTGATTCCGCTTGTAAGACCTCCTAAAAAAAAGACCACCCAGGTGTTTTTATGACAGGCCCCCAGCTGAATATTCTGCAATTATTTCTTTCTATAAAGCACCTGCAGCATTTTTTTACATCTAAGCCTTTAAGGGCAAACAAATTAAAATATTGGAAGAAGGGCTCTAGGGAAGGTATTTCCAGCAAGCAAACAACAATCAAACATAAAACCTGCTACAAAAGTAATGGACCCTTCTGGGCTGGCCTGCCTGGCGTGAGCCTGCTGCAAGTAATGCTACCAATGGCTACAGCCACAATGGCACATCTTGGGCCCAACTTCTCAACCTGCTCAATCTCTCCCTTCAATCTGTATTAACTCCAAATCTGTAAATTCACAGCTAAGGGAAATAGTGCCAACGTTGGAAAATATATTGTCCCACCCCATTCTCCAGCCTCCTACCTTTTCCTCCAATGGAGGAGACAAGATTATTTAGACTTTTTTCTTGTAAAGATGGCTGTGAAAGCTTTGATCTATTTTTCAAAATGTATCTTCAGGATTCCTAATTGAAATACTGCTAAAATCATGACAGTTTGATCTTGCTTTGGTGACTCTAATATAACACATGATAATTTTAAATTATGTTCAGTGCTCTGATTGTCTCTGTAAACTATTTTTAATATAAGCAAACATTATACTAAGAGAAACCAACTTATGATAACTATTCAAATGCAGGGAAAATGTTCAGTATGGCCATGGATACAACTGAGCCATTGCTGCAAGCTACAGACTAACGTCCCAGTGCTCCCACTGTGCCCGAGTTGAGAACAACTACCTACAGCACTTCTAGATGGGTTCTACCTCTACTGACTCCTTGAAAGTTCTGTCTTCGAGTACACTGCTTACCCATATCAGTAATCCAGATGGCTATTCTCTCATATAAGAAATTCAGTATCATGATGATGACAAAGTTCAGGCATGAGGCTGTGACTGAAGTTGCCAGCTGAGGGGTCAGTAATCCACTGATGGGTTGTAAAGTTTGAGTGTTCTCCATCAGGCTGGCAAAGGCAGCGTACACAGCAAGACGATACACGATCACAGCTATCATGCTAGCTATAATCAGAGACACCTAAAGAAAGGACAGAGATTTGAAATTGTGATACACCTACAGCTCAGTATAGCTATATGCGTGCAACTTCTGAAATAAGATGTAAATCATCATGCTTTATAAATTTTAGTCTTTACACGTACGAGTTCAAGCAGCACTGAAATGCAAAGTACACAAGCAAAAAACTTTGCTGTATTAGGTACATTAAACCCAACAAAATTATTTTGTTAACACAAGAAAACCAGACAATCTAATACCAATTTAAAAAAAAAATAGTGGAGAAGGATACAGACTTATAGAAATGGAGACAGAAGGGATAAAGATTATATTGTCCACCCCCAAATTCACTCTGCAGGTATTTCTAGAGGAATATATAGATATTTCGTTGTAGTGAGGGTTTTTTTTTTCATTTTTGCTTTTATTACAAATTTTTTCAATATGGTCTGTTAACAGCATATAAGCCAGAGAAAAAGTTACCCCTATGCTAGAATGTCCAATCAAATTACTAATTAACGACAGATTTAAAAGGTCTTTTTTTTTTATTCTGAAGTGCATTTTGCATGACAGCAGGAAATCTGCAGGGCAATAATAAAAGCATGTATTAATATCATGATTAAAACCAGTTTGTGTTAATGTCATGATTAGCGATGACTAGCAACTCTGATATATGTTAAAATGATGATTCAAAAAGATGCTCACCCAGAACAACACTGTAGTCCCTGAGATGCAGAACCGCACAGCCTGGCTAGTTATAGGCAAATAAGGCTCCATCTCCTGAAACAGTCAAGCAAGCACAGCACAGTTCACAAATCCATAATCTTATTCTAACGTCAAGCAGCACACAGAGCTCTCATCAGCTGTGTGAAAGTGCCCACATCCGAGGAAAATCATTCAGAACCACCTGCTCTAAAAGGGCAGGCAGGACATGATTTTGAATGTGCCGGGAGGGGCGGGGGGGAAAGATCAAGACAGAAGTGGTCGTAACAATGCTAAAAGTAAAGCCAGTACTTGAAAAGAACGGTTAAACCTTTGCAAAAATCAATCAGTAGCTGAAAGAAAAAGACCACCTCCTTCATTAGATGAACAGGACAGAACTATTACTGTAATGCTAGCTCAGCTGTCATACAGCTCTGGGTCCAAAACTGGACTGAAATTTAAGGAATTCTTCATGGTGAGGTTTCTTAAAATGGTTATTTACTTGGATGTACCATGTTTTTCCACACAGCCAGAGAGTGTTTGCCTCCACTCCTTCAATTTTTATTGTTTTTAATTGAAGAAATGGCTACGTTCATTAGTTGCCAATCTCTGCTGCAGCACCAGGCAGGTAGGTCTTACCCAAGCGAGTATCCCCATATAGCACATGACCAATTTTCCATGTTCGTGTAAAGTTCTCTTTTTCGCAACCAATTCTAATTCCTAAAATATCACATTACATGTATTAAGAAAGGATCATTTAAGAATGATTTTCTTTTGGCCAAGAAGGCCAAAAGCATCCTTGCCTGTATCAGCACTAGTGTGGCCAGCAGGAGTAGGGAAGTGATCGTGCCCCTGTACTCGGCACTGGTGAGGCCGCACCTTGAACACTGTGTTCGGTGTTGGGCCCCTCACTACAAGAAGGACATTGAGGTGCTTGAGTGTGTCCAGAGAAGGGCAACGAAGCTGGTGAGGGGTCTGGAGCACAAGTCTGATGAGGAGCGGCTGAGGGAACTGGGGGTGTTCAGTCTGGAGAAGAGGAGGCTGAGGGGAGACCTTATCGCTCTCTACAGCTATCTGAAAGGGGGTTGTGGTGAGGTGTGGTGAGGTGGGTGTCGGTCTCTTCTCCCAAGTAACTAGTGACAGAACAAGAGGAAATGGCCTCAAGTTGCACCAGGGGAGGTTTAGATTGGATATTAGCAAAAATTTCTTCACTGAGAGAGTGGTCAGGCATTGGAACAGGCTGCCCAGGGAGGTGGTGGAGTCGCCATCAGTGGAAGTGTTCAAAAAACGTGTGAGTGTGGCACTTCAGGATATGTTTTAGTGGGCATGGTGGTGTTGAGTTGATGGTTGGACTTGATGATCTTAAAGATCTTTTCCAATCTTAATGATTCTGTGATTCTGTGAAGAACTAATGCCAATAGAAGCTGAATTTGATAAATTTTTGGGACAGGCACTGTAGCATGCTTACACTCCTCTGGGACAAAGGGGCACTGACTACTACAGGCAAGCACAATATTAAGTACATTATCAATAAGTATGCTGAACCAGGAAATGCTTGTTTTGACAACAAAAGACACTGAACGTGTAAAATGTTATTGAAGGGAGTTTGTTTTCTTTTGCACAAAAGCCCAGAATGTTCTGGCATAACGCGGTGTAATTACGCCGAATACAACGGCCGCAACCGAGCTGCGCGCTTCTCCCTGACTCAGCCAAGCAGTAGCAGTTGCTTTACAAGCATTGCTTCTTGATGGCGATATTCTTCAGTCGGCATGCTCATACCAATGGGATTGTGTCTGACGTGTAATGCGCTGTTCTCTCAGGACAGATGTACTGCCCATACCTGCCTAAGTATACTTACTAAACACAATCACTGATACCGTAGTCTCGAGTCACAACAAGTTGTTTGATGTGGCTTTACACAGGCTCATAACATTTTATACCTATTATGCATTAATAAATAAATAATATACACATTCTATACTAAGAACAAATGTTTTGCACATTCTAGGCTATTCAACAAATTTTCTACTTCAGAACAAAATGTAGGCAACAATGTGCAATGACAGAGCCTAAGTTTGAATGCAGTGCTTCATTATTTATGTCAATTCAGTTTCTACTGTAATCACCAAAACCAGATTTTAGCTATGATCTAGCTGAATAGTTTAGCATTGTGACCAAATGAGGTGTTAATTAAAGCTTCAAGATGGGCAATTTCTGTTTCAGTGCACCTAAAACTTTGAATCACGGCCAGGAATAATGAGGAAACAATTTTCTGAGCAAAGCAAAACCAGCCTTGAGACAGAAAAAACTCAGTGACCTGTATCCATATTATCTTATTAATCTGCTGAATTAACTTATTTAAAATCACTGTCCTTTCACGTGTTGCACATTATCTAATGGAAGGCAATTACGCTACAGCGTGGCTACCCTGTATGGTTTGCTATAACTGGGTATTGATAAAGATCACTGCTAAACTCTGCTACACAAAAGCTTCTGAAAAATCCACCAAGGTAATAAATTGATGTGTCATAAAATAAAGGATTGTACAGTCATTGAATTTTTATGGTAATTGCTAACGTATACTTAGAAAGCACAGAACAGTGCAGTACCTTACTCTGAGGTAAGAAAAATACATTAAGGTCCAATTTCTGTTTCCAAAATACAGTCCAAATAAAGCATCCTACCTAAGAGATCTGCATGAATTGAGAGAGAGAACAATCTCCTCCCTCAGGACAGTTACACAAATGCACCTCACCCACACCATCTTTGTCTGTCACCTGCAGTGGCTGATTTGCTTCGCCAGACTACAGGTTTTGGTCCATGAGCATGCAGAAATCAATGTCTTGGCAGAGCTAAACTTAAAATCACAGTGCATGGTTACCCAAGATCCCTGCGTGACTACAGCATAGAAGTTACAGGTATAAGAACAACAGCATTCATGTTGCATTTGCAGAAGGGGAAGGAGAGACAGAAAACTGTCTCTCATCAGGAAATACATACACTAACCTTATTTCTCATAATTAAGGAGAGAAACCCTGAAAGACAGTGCTATTGTTAGTAGAATGATGGTGCGTCCCATGTTCTGGCTAAGCTTCTATTTCTTTTCTGAAGACTGTGTTATCTAAGTCATCTTATGACCAGTGAAAATAAGTTATTTATATACAACTCTAGGAAGAGGAAGGAGGTTTTAAAAATACATCGAATTGAGGTGCTAAATGTTACACTGGAATGCAACCATCTGATCCCTAAATTTGTCAAATAATTTCCACCTAAATTAAATTTAAATGAAGACAAGTAACATCTAGTAGGTGTTTACATAGAGCACTTAACAGAGTGTGGCTAATTGTATCTCAACTAGACTTCAGCCAAAGGGCTTCAGCAACCTTCATCCCTCTAACATTCCTCAAAGTGGTTGTATATCAGAAATAAAACCACAGCCAGTCCTACTTCTGTATCTTTAGATCAAGGCGACTCCTCCTCCATATGTTATGCAGGGATGAGAAAGGGTGCTTTCAAAGGGGCGAAGATTTCAGAGACTGCTACCTTGAAACGTGAAGGGCACTGTAAAGATGGTGTTAGCCAAGTGAAAGCTATGAACTTTGCCTTTGTACTCCTAATTTAATATATCAGTTTCCTGTGGAAATTAAAATCAATAGAGGATAGTTAACGAAAGTTATGCAAACTCCAGAGGCAAAACACTGCCATGTTCTCATTTATTCTGTGTCACAAGCTTAGATAACAAAAGCCACCTGCAGGAAGAGAGCCATGGTCCAAGGGATGGGGCATGCCTGTCAGTGCGAGAGGAGGCTGAACTGCTGAGCACTCTCGGTCACCGTTACCTTCAGACTGGAAAGCAGGACAGCCACACCGCAACGGCCCTGCGCCAGGGTACAGAGACCCTTGAGAGGCAGGGCTATCAACTCCAGAACCTACCAACACTAACCAGCCTTGCTGCTTTCGGCAGTTAAAGTGTTTATCTCCAAGACTAGTCAGCGAGAGCACAAACCCCAGCACTCATCAGCTGGACGCCTTCAGCGAGAAATCATGTTACCAAATTCTGCTTTGATGTTCAACGCAATCCATTGTGTCCAGTGAGGGTGTGGTTGGCATCACGTTCTACATATTTAAGCCAAACTCGCTGCTACCATAAACACTGGTCAGTGGAGACGTAATAGCCGAGGGCCTGCCCTGCTCCAGTAGAAATGCAGCACTCTTTACGTGTCTCACACAAATCTTTACCTAGCCGTGAGATAGAGATTTGTTCCTGAGGCAGAACTCACACATCATCAAACCACCTTTCGGCACACAACCGAATCCGCATGCACATCAACCAGCAGGCTCCTTACCTGAGTTACAGGATTCTTCTTCTTTTGGGTACATTTTGCCTCGTACTCAGGCCTCAGCTGGAGTTGCTGCTGTTCCTCTTCAAAATCAACCAAATCCCACTCATATTTCAGTCTAGCTTGCCGTCTCTTCCAAAACTCCAAGAAAAGCGTAACTGCAATGTGGAAATGTTAAAATACAGTTCAGGGAGAAGTGAACAAGTTCATGAACCAACTTAAGCTTATTTCTGCACTGGCTTCTATTCTGTGGCCTATTATTTATCCTCAGTGGGACACATCTATTTTTATTGACTCCCTATTAAAGTTCACAGCTAAGACTGTAATAGGTTAAGTAATTTATTAGCTAATTGAATTCCAGAAGTGGATGACAAGGAAGATGCCAAGACAGGATATGGGTATTTCCATGGTTATGACAGCCATGTTCAATTACAGTTTAACTACTTTTCATATGCAAATAGCAACATGGAATTAAGAAAGGAACGTGATAGTTCAGCTAATTGTTTCTGTATAAACCCGTAACACATGAAGAACTACTACAAATAAGCAGAACTGTCTTCAAGTAGTATGTGCAAAGATTTCTGTTGCTTTTTGATGATTATTTGGTATGGTCATTTAAAGACAGTGAATGTCTGATGCTTTTCATACGATCAAGAGTGAGGCTGGCTTAAGAAATTTTTAAGATGCTAGAGGGAACTGATTTCATAAATAAAATAAACAACTGTAAAAGTTATAATATTATATAACATTTAAAAAGCCCTCTATAAATGACTTGAAAATGTAAACCCTTGGTAATCTGACTGTTCTTACGTGAAGTGGGGAGGCTCTACGGTTTACACAAACACAGGAAAGCTCATCTCCTACAGTTCCTAAATCTTTTGCTGGTACTTCCTGAATGACTAATCCATGTCACTCAAAGGTTAGCACTTAAAACCAAGAAAAGTTTAGGAAACCAGCCATACATCATCATGTTATTCAATTTTTTTTGGAGAACTCTCTACGAAAAAGTTAGTGGCTAGGACCTTTGGTAACAAATACAAAAATTTTGTCTTAGCTCACAGAGATCTTTCTATGTTAATGAAGTATTTATACTCAAATCGAAGATGTAATTATGACATTTCATAGAAACAGTATGAAACAGGAGACAAGGTAATAAGAAACAACTACACTATCCTGCATCTATAAACCTTCACAGAGTTTAAGGAAAGAACACGTATTCAAGACAATACTATCTTAAAGTCTGCACAAATATCACTTGGTGTGAAACCACACTTATAGACAGAGTCCAGAAATCCACCTATTTCTGCATCATCAAAGCATACTATAATGTATGAACTTCACTGGAGTAGAAGCCAACTGATTCTCATCCTAAAAGTCCTGCTAATGAAGTGGTAGTACTGGACCACCATCCAGTGAAAGGACAGAAAAGCTCTCTACTCCCTCACAGAGTTGTGTAGGGCTCAGCAGAGAGGACTCTTAGGAGGACTGCATAAGGTTGGACCACTCTATCCTAGATTACTAAGGAAAGAAACAAACATTAGCAGTTACGAGTATGTAATGCTTATATCCTAGATATCTGCTGGATTTTGTTCAGTTTTTTTAAGTGCAATTCCTCTGTAACTTTAAGTTATTTTTACTCTTTCATCACTTATTGCATCTGAGGCAGGATATTAAAGTGAAGCCATTATTCCTCCTCTTCCCACTTCCAGTGTCCCTCAGGAGTTTGGCCAAGATATCCTTATTGCTTGACATAAAACTTATCAAATGTACTCACCCCATATGCCCATGAAAATGGCAAAAAAGAGAGTTGCCACGTTGTCAAACAAATGGGAATACTGCAATAGAATACACAGGAACAGGTTGGTACCAAAATAGTTTTCAGTATTAAGAAAAACGACAAGTGGCTGGAGAACCAGATACAGACCTCTGAGGACTCACAGGTGGTGTTTAGTCTCCAGTACTCACACTCCCGGTCACAAAGAGGGCACATGATGATCTCTCCTCCAATTGCAGGGTCACAGATTTCTTTGCTGAGGAGAAAATATTGTACAGTATCTGTTTTCATAGCATCTTAAGAGCTGCTATATGAAATGTATTTAAAAATTAAGAGCTTCATTTGTTTAAAGCTCAACATCTGCGGCTTCACAGAGAAGATGCCAAGTCTTGTCACATTTGCTGGTGTTAACCTGGTCAGGGCAAGCCAAGAAATGTAGCAGCTGCTACAAGGAGGAGAACTAGCAATTCACTTGGTATGGGCTTTCTGATTCCATCAGCAACGAATCAGAAGTCTGTAAGGGGCTGTACTGTACATGCCCTGCTTTCAGGTGAGATATAAACCATGTTATTTCTCACCAGGTTAGTAATGCGTTCAAAACACCTTTTCTAAAAGCAGAGGTATTAATTCAGCTTTGCTATCTACAGTAAAATTTGCTACTTCAATTTAACTGCTAGAGTGGGTGAAGGTTACAATCCTACGATAATCCTTCGGTATCCAGAGAAATCCGAACATGTATAGCAGTCTTGCCAGGTGAATTCTGAACCTAGCTGCAATGTAAGTCTCCGAGTGACTTAATTCAATAGAACCAATGAGAATTTTAAGCCGTTATTCACCTTTTATGGTTAAACCTCAAAATTTTCTGAAGCCTTCTTAAAAAAACAACAGTGAGCAATGAATTGTCAAGCCTCTTTTCCTCTCCCCATCCATCATCCACCCTGCCTCCCCAAATCCCTGAATACAATAAATCTTGGGACCCTTGAAGAAACAAATACAGTGCTTATTCAGAAAGAAGCAAACTCTGGATTCCGAGATACCGGATCCCTCTGACGGAAGAAGACTGCTGATCTGTCCTGTACTCATGCTTTCGGTAGTTAGTACAAATGATGACCTGCACAAAAAGGTCAACGGACTACTCTGCAGAATAGATTAAAATAGAAAAGCTTAAGGCAACAATAAACACTTGAAACACACAATTCTGAGAGATGTCAGTGGTGCTCTTCAGACTTCACGTATTGCGGGTTTTTCAATATAAGAAGCTACTGGCAACTGGCAATAAAATACTGCTTTTCGCCTACAGATGGAGTCTTCCTAATTAAGAGTCACAAGTTCTGCATTAGCTGCCCACCACCATTTCAGTCAACAAAGACAGCTGAAAAACAAATCCGTGTGCTCCAGCAAGCTTTAAAAGCTTGTTACCTGTTTTTTTTCCCCAAGAACAAAATTTTCACATTGCTTAGCTTTTCCCATTATAAGCCCAGGAGATTTTCAACACTACACTCACCTGCTCATATTTTCATCCATTGTAAACAAGCCATAAAGAAAACAGATTAAGCCAACAACAGCTGCAAGGAATAACATCTCAGTGTAAAATCCTAGCCAGGCAAAATAGATCCCAATCTTCTCACCATAGTACTTCCTGAATACAAAAAAAAACCCAAAAAACAATTAATAGGAATACAAAGCAAAGTTTAAAACTCCAATAGATAGCAAACTGGCCAGAGTCAAAAATGAAACACTTGGCAAAATTCTCATTTAACAGAAGAGTAAATGCATTGATGCACAGTGGAAAAATGAGATTTAAAGCTAGCTGTGAGAAGTTATGCAAGCCGAATGAACAAAATACATGGCCTCTTTTGACCTTTTCTTCCTCCTAGCAGAAGTTCCAGCTTTACAATCACTCTTTCACCTACCCATATGATAATGTAAATGAGGATTTACAGTTTTCATTTTCCAAGGAGTTAGACAAATGAAACTGGGCACAAAAGTTCTGATCATATGGTCAGAACGAATGGGTAATTCCCAGAAATACACCTGGTTGTGTTACAAATGGAGCAACTGTAACCTGTGAATAAAGTAGTGGGTTTTCTGTATCATCTGATCTGAATCAAAGGGATCTTGGGTAAGGTTAATTTAAATTTGAGTTTAGTACTGAATTAAGACTCAAGCTTCAAAACTGCTTTTATGAGTGTTTTTTCAAGTCTGTGTCAAAATTTCAGAACTTCACGTCAATGAAGTTTAAAAAGTGTGGCAAATATTGAGTATAAAATGCAAGGTATTCTTCATATGTGTTCCTCTACAGCCGAATTATCTGTCATATACCTCACCCTGGGAGCAAAGGCTAGATTGAAAGAGGCTTGATTCGAGATAAAGCATTTTACCAGTTGCTAGTAAAAACCTGTGTCATGTCCTCCAGGGACCTAGTGCCCAGCTAAGTATCTGATTCTCATTGCATATTGAAAGTAGTAAAAATTTCCCAGCAGGATCAAGCTACAAATGAATACACGCTCGCATTACAGTGAAACCCAAGTACATATAATAAAGCACAGGCAATATTTTACCTGATGAGGTCCAAAGGCTGTTCTTTGTAGAACCGCAAGAAGCGGGCCCACTCCATGTACAGCGTGTATCTCTCATTGTCACAGTTTGGATCATTTGCCTTTTTCCAGTACTGGCACTGTCAGAAAATCAGAGTAAAGGCAAAACACCTCATCGACAGACTCAAATACTACATTAAAAGAAATTAACATTAATGATGATGATGCATACCTCTTAAGATTATGCCAATTAAACTAATTTGAAATTCAAACTTAGCACTCCACCACTTTCTTTAAGTAGAAGCCTTTTTATATATGTTTTAAGATAATACACACTTTCAGAAGACATTTATCAATCTTAGATGTTAAGTCAACCTGTACAGTAACCACATCATCTTATTTTATGCCATAGAATCATAGAATGGTTTGGGTTGGAAGGGACCCTTAATGGTCATCTAGTCCAACCCCCCTGCACTAAGCAGTGATGTCTTTAACTAGATCAGGTTGCTCAGAGCCCCGTCCAACCTGACTTTGAAGGTTTCCAGGGATGGGGCATCTACCACCTCCCTGGGAAACCTCTTCAAGGGTTTCACCACCCTCATTGTAAAACATTTCCTCCTTTTATCTATTCTGAGTCTGCCCTCTTTTAATTTAAATCTATTACCCCCTTGTCCTATTTCAACAGGCCCTGCTAAAAAGTCTGTCCCCATCTTTCTTCTAAGCCCCCTTCAAAGGCTGCAATACCAGCGTTGTGCCGGTACAACATACTCATTTGCACTGGTAGGTTACTGCAGTGAATGGCATATTCCTTTACTGGTGTACCACATGAAACTGTAGAAGTTCAAGCTTCCCTAAAGCAGAAAACCACCATTGTGCTCCCGCTTCATTAAAAATAATGCCAACTTTAATCTTGTTCTCTGTACTTCTGAATCAGGCTCTCATTGTAAATTGCACAGCCAAAAGCATTTCACCAAGAGACGTAAACTAGGGGATATAAATTAAAGTTGTTTCCTGCTCGCAGCCGTAGCACTGTAATGTACTCCGTGCTGTGATCATGTGCACAATGATTTGTAAGTCTGTCTCGTGACTTTGGAATTTTGTCATATAGTTCCTTAGCATTTAAGATTGCTTGTATTTGTATAGAAAGGATTCTTGTACAAATGCTTTTCATTATCTGCGTTTATGGTAGTCCCAACAGTATGAAGTACTTCCCAGCCTAGACCAGTCTTCTACAGCCTAGACTCTGATCAGCTAAATCTTCCCCCTGAAAACATATAGAATGTCCACTCATCCATTTATTTTCATTTTCTAACAGAGGAAACAATATTTTAAAAATATTAAAATATATAATTCTATAGAAAATATTAAAAAATTTCTTATGGTACAATTCACAGATGCAAGCAAGCAATTTACATTCACTAAGGCACTGTGATTTAAAAAAAAGAGCATTTAAGGAATAATTAAAAAAAAAAACCAAAAAAGAAACAATCAGCAAAATAAGCAACCCATCTCTTCTCATTTTTTGCAAGGGATTTCAGGGCTAAACCCACATACATTGTATTAAAAATTGACCCTACGGCAAAAATAAACACCAGTAGTTGCCATCTTGACCATACTTCTAGTATTTGCAGTTGCTCACCAAAGCTCACTAGAAGATGGACAAGTGACCACCCCACACTGAACTGCGGGGCTCATGCAACTCGCCTGACTTCAGTCCCCACATGGTACGATCCCAGGAGTATTTATGTAACTACAGGTAGTATGCCCCTCTGTATAATTACAGTACATGTATGTACACACCCTACACACGCACACTGCGGAATGTACGCATCTACAGTTGGTATTCATTCCTTGTTATCATCTTTTTAATGTACTACCACATAATCTGTATCATAGACATTATAGGAATATACTATGGAATAAGTCTCTTGCAAATTATGTGACTGACACATAAGTGCATGCTAGAAACTCAGTTCCTGTATGCATCCATAGGAAGAAACATTTCAGCACATAAAATCCAAATAGTAGACCCGGCAGATATGTCTTTGTATCATAAAACAGAATCAATTACTGGGACAAATGGAAGGGTCTGAGTGCATTTTCATTTCTGCTGGAAACAGCAAATGTCGCAGAGCAAGAACACTTGGAAATGCTTATGGGAGCAGAAAGCTAAAATACTTACGTCATGAAGGGGGTATGCAGCTGAATAGGTGCCATTATTTAGCAGTCTCTTAATCCCAAATTTTTTCTTCCCTTCTTCTGTTCCATACGGGCAACGTGTAAGAATATAATTAACCTGAGATTCAAACACAAGGATTTCAGCCTTTTCCTGCTTTATAGGCCATTTAACAAAAAACTGTAGTGGTTGTGCACTGTGTATAATCTGCAGGAATAATAGGCTAAAGCAAAAAGCGCTTCTTCAGAAGGCCCTACCCTGCATGGGACCATTGAGGGCACACTTGCCTTGTAGACATCCAGAAGATCCATTCCAACAATTACCATTCCAGATTTTTAAGGAAGATGCATAGGCATCTAGGCTTCCTCGTATTTACCCACAGATGTCACAGTTCATATACTCCTTCCTTGCATGAATATTCCTATGGGTCTGTGTAAATCTAAGTAGAAAGTGTAAATGTAAGTAGACAAATTCGCATACGTACTATTCTGTTTCTCATGGATGGTGAGAAGAAAGTGCTCTCGTCATTAATGAGGTACAGCTCCTGCTTCTCCTTGCTGAACGGGGCCGTGAAATAATCTGGTTCCGGATGCATCACCTTCTCGGGAAGCCTGAGTGGCGCAAGCATACAGTCCAGGGGGTTCTCCACCGTCGAGGGAATGTCATTTTCCTTGATGGGAACTTTAATGTTCAGCACTTCTGCGTATGTGATCAGAACCTCCCACGGGGCATGGATCTTCACAAAATAAATCTTGCCATCTTCAGATTCCTGCCCCAGGAAGATTAAATCTGACATCAGACTAAACCGTGCTTTATTCAACGATTTATGAGAATAGTTGTTATACAAAATTTATTACCTTTTACATATTTTTGAAAGCTTTAAAAAAAAGGGGGGGGGGAATGGGGGATTTTTTGGTTTGTTTTTAACTGAAAAGCTTATCCAAGTGATTGATTGTTCATAAGGATAGTCTTTGCACTACTAAAAGCTCACAAAGGCTTCTTTCAAACTACATTAACCTTGTGCACTGAGGCCTGAAAACTCTCAATACACCCCGAGTGCACTGGAAACACAAGCCCACGCGTCCTGCCGACCACCGTGCTGGACTGTAAAGCTGTTCTCATTCTAGAGAGGGCGGTTTTCATGCAGCGGAGTAGAGCACACAAGGCTCCTTGCAAAAAAAGGAGCTACCAACCAGAGCTCAGATCTGTTACAGCCTCACAGCTACGAAAAGGACTAATCTTATCACAGGCCTCACCCCACAATGTATTTTCTTCTAGTGTTCCCCTGCATACGCAGGAGAAAACGGTGATCACAAGGTATTTTTAACATGTTGCTCACCGAATCCCATCTATGCATGTTACAGAGCCTAAACTTCGCCAAGAGTTATTTAGTCCCACTCAATCTCTGTCAGAAAAGAAGAGCATGCTGACTGAAGTCAGCGTCCCGTGTTCTCCAGTTATTAAACAAAACAGTAACACTAATCAAACATCCTCAGTTTGTTACACCAGAGCCCTTCCTCACCGTAATTACAACATCCAGTGGGCACACGCTAATCTAGTCACTGACTTCCAAGTATGTTACTAGTTGTTAGGCGGGATTAAATCTAGCTGTGGGCATACTTCCCATCTACATGGGTTTAAATGAAGTCACAGCTGCTTTGGAACTGCTTGCTTTTTGTTAAGAAACCAAAAGCCATCACTTCCACCTGAATTAAATTACTTTCCACAATTCTTATGAACATATCTGGAAAAATAAGTCAAACAGACACATTTGAATCTGCTAGAAAAATTTATGATTTGTCACAAAGAAACAAAGTGGTATACATTAATAATGTGCAGGTCTATTTCTTTGGTCCCCATCTTTCTGCCTTTTTTTTTTTTTTTTTTACCTTCTTATCTTCTGTTTCTAGTTCCAAACCAGCCTTTTGCAGATTGCTCTCAAATTCTTTTCTTCTTTCCTGAAGAGAAATAAACACACTTTATTAACTGATGAAGTTAGCAGCTAACTGATCACTTGCTGGTCACTTCACTGAGTTTCACTCCTCCAAACTGCCCTGACGACAACCCCTTAATGCTCTGCGACCTTTCTAAAAGAAGGCAGACCAACAGACAAAACCCAGCTGATGCGTACGGGGCCACTTCCGAGCAATGGCCAGCCTAGTGATGGTGACGCGTCGGGAATTGCATCGACTAGCAACGGGAGACCTATCTGTTAGTTAGGGATAGGCTCATAAACTGCCCAGTCTTGTTAACCAGAGAAGGAAATCAAGTCATGCATCTTGGGCATCTCTGGCTCTTCGGGAAGGTGGTGTGTATGGTGTGCTGTCGTTTAGCTATATTTCTGAGAGAATGTTAAAACCAGATGAAAAGAAAAATTCTGGTAGCGTCTGGAAGACTGATCGCTTATAGTAACATCTATTTACCAGTTAAACAATCGTGCCCGATACAGACGTTCAAGTGCTGATTACAGACCATTCAAACAGTATGCTTCACAAACAACATAGCTGTAAAACTAGATAAGATTAACAAATCATCACGTGTAAGCTTACATATGCTTAGCTTGCACAGTCAGTGTGGACTTCACGCAGAGACAGACCTGCCTGCGGCAGTGTGCGATGGCTGCCTGACCTCCCAGAGGCTGAAACCCTTCTTGAACTCTGTATTTTGCCAAGTAATTCCTAGGTGATGTCTTAAGGTAAGAACATTTTCTTCCCCTCCTTCTCTGTAGAATTTTTCTCATATCAGGAGGCCTTTTAGTTATATAAAATCTGCTGAAGGACTGCCAGAATAACCGCAACTTAAGCTAAATATTGAGCCCTAGCCTCTTTAGAAAGCACTAGCTAGATTACCCTTTTTTTTCTAGCTAAAACCTGCAATGCTGTGTGATGTGCTCTTGACTGAAAGGTCTTAAATTGACTTTTTTCACATACACTTGAAAAAAACAAAACACCATCGTTTTCAGCATATTTCCTTTTCCTGTGTGTCCAAGAGGAACAGGCTGCCCTATTTGCAGTTTAGTTTGCATAAACTACTCAGATAAACAAATACAGACTGAAGAACAGCTTTAATGGCCCTCAAATCTATGTTAAGATGTATCGATATATTTTCCTGCGTTAGTGGCCTTGCATTTTTACCTTTCACATCCGATGTTGCCAAATATTATTAGATATTAAATTAGACACCGGCCTCGATAAGCCTCGATATTACTGCTAATACAGCAATTCCTGAGTTCTAGCACATGCTGGGGATAAATGCAATTCCATGCATTATTTTTTAACTCTCCTATCTCAAACCTGCCCACATGCACCTGTATAAACACACCTGATAACGCTTGTTTGCTGACCTGCTGATCTAATAGAGAACAGCACAACTAAAAGGTGATTTACGATTACATCTGAAAGTGCTATATAAAAGCTGACATTCAAGCCTGGTATCCAAAGCTGTGTGCTATTCTGGATTATGTTTTCTCCAAACAAAACACGCTGGCGTGCGTTCTTTCCCCAGCGAACACTGGAGGAGAGCCAACTCTGAGGGTTCTCTGCCTCCAGAGACACCAGCCAGCTCCTCCTCCAGCTCTGCAGCTTAATAACAGAGTGAGCCAAGGGGTCTGGCCCCATCATGCTGATCGTTCCTTACTATAAACTTACTGTGATAAACTGTAGTGCTCTAATAGAAATCACGCTCTTTTTACCACCTTGCTCTCTTCCCATAAGCCACCTTCTCTGAAACCCTTGCGAATGTACTGTTCTTTCCAGTCACTTGAAACAACCATCTTTAAAAGTAATCCATCTGCTGCAAAAAAAAACAATGGTCCCTCTTTTCTTGCCAAATACTGGATTTCTCCATGTCACTGTCAAAGGCTTAAAATGGACAAAATGTACCCTTGGACCAGTGCTGGGATTTTTTTAATAGATACTTGTAAGAATTTTAAGCTTACTGTCCCAAACCTAAAAAGCTAGACCTGATGCATATAATTCTGACTCCACTATAGATGCCACTGTGCAGTCACAGGGGGAAGCAACGTATGTAATCGCATTAGTGAAGACCCATGTAAGTGGGCTAATGCCCTTCCCTGCTTTTTAAGTACAGTTCTTAAGCCTCTCCAAAGCACCTGTAACAAGACTGAAACCCCATTTTCCGAGACCACCATGCACTCTATAGGCAAGGCCAGTAGAGCATTCACCTCTCCGATCACCGCTGTGGATATCCCGCATACTTGCACGGAGTAACTTTACCATCTAACATCTGCTTGGCTGTAATGAACCACGCCAATAAGATTAACAAAGCGAGGTCCAAAGTCCAGCAGTACTCACATGCCCGATGCAGATGCAACACTGCACGATTAATTCCCTGAGGAAGACAGACAACTGTTATAAACCTGTTTCTTGATAAAGATGCTGTTACTGCTAGTAACAACAATCAATAAACAGGAGAATAAAATAATTTTAAGTTTACAACATACTATTCCTTAACCAAACTCCTCCTGCTCGCTTTTACCCTTCTCTTAGGCAGGGAGCCGCAAGCTTACAAAAGCCTTTTACCTATGAGGATGCTCAGGCTTATTCTAACTGAAGTCACATGTAGGATATCGGGAAATAAATATGACCTTTAGGAACAATCGCATGCTACTGCAAAGCATAAAAGAGCTCCACTCTTCACGGCACCCTGGGGAAACACACTTCACAGGCGCAATGCAGATGGACTCGGGCTGGGCTCGGGCTGCCCGCGCACTCCCTGGCAGAATGTCTGGGGTGAGGCAGAGCCCGTTTAGGAAAGGCCCCTTGTCCTCTCATCCACCGGCAGCCACAAGAGCTGGGGGCCGAGGAGACAGATGAGATACCTGGCCCTACCGCAGGGCTTGGGAGGGTGCTCTGCGTGCCCTCCGAAGCGCGGGAGATGCCAAACACCTTTCCTCCGCAAGGCTGCTGGAAAGCGGCACGGAGAGGTGCCCAGTTTGGATCCAGCCCAGTTTTCGGGTGCTCCTGCAGAGCTGGGGACACGGCTTCTCACAGCCAGCAGCCTCACAGGGTGCGGCAGGAGCAACAGGCATCTGATTTTTTGCTGCCCTTGGCTCCCTAACTTTGGGCTATCTGCTGCCTGTAAGAAAGCAGAAGTTTCTGTCTGCGCTGATGAAAAGGGGAAAAGGACTAGATAAAATTTCTTTCTGTATCTCCAAGCCCCACTGGGGACAGGGGGACTTCGCTTCCAGTGAACACAGGAACAAGTTACTTTGCACAGAGATCCCAGAGCCCTAATGCTCTGGAGTTTCTTGTGAAGAAATACACTTATGGACAGTAAAGATCGTGTCCTGCTCATACATGAATAATTTATTGGACATTTTTAAAAACTCTATTTTTCCATGTACACATGCATTTCATATGTGGGTAAAATATTTCTACTTATCGGCTACAGGCTTTGAGGAAAAATTATAAAGTATTGTTTCAAAAATGTAATCCTAATTTTTGTTTAGAGAGACTTTGTGGTTAGGATTTATTCGTGTAGCTTATAGAAGGCAAGTTCAAAATAGAGATTAAGCTGGAAAGTGTCTGGGGAACATCAAAAAAGTTAATGCATTTGTTCTGTGTGAAGCTAAGGGAGAAGATGAACAGACCATCTCTTACATCTGTATCAGGGCTATGTTGAAACACACAAAGAAGTTACTCATCCCTTTCTTAGAAATGCAGAATAAAGCTGCTTCCTTGAGACAAGGAAACAAAACCCTTTGTCACAACTCTTATTCTCTTCCTATGAACACTGCTATTCTTAGCTGTTCCATTTTGCTGTATCATTGTACTACAGTAAAAAAAATTCACATTTCTTTCCTGTGACAACTGTACAATAGCAAGTACAGTATGTCAGACGAATTCCAAAGGCTGCAGTGCCTCAGTATTTAAACCTTGTTCCCACAAAGACAACAGCACAGTACTTCTATGCTAAGAAGTCTGCATTAATATACAAGCATATTCATTGCTTAAAGGTCTGCGCTGGACACAAACACAGGGCAAATTTCATTTCCTTAGCAGGTTCGCCAGGAACTGTGTAAAAACCAATGCGCTGTAACATTCTTATCTTCACGCCTGTCCATTCTGCGACCGCAGAGCTAACCCACAGGGCCACAGACCAAACGCCTTCTTCCACGGGGCCATGAACCCTTTTGTAAGACACAGACGCAGAATTAAATCTCATGGAACCGTGCAGATGTTCTAGCCTTTTGTAAGTCAGAGATGTTTCTTCCCAACTAAGTGCATTTTTACCTCAAAAAGGAGCCACAATGTTAGCTACTAACTCAGGTTCTTCCCCATGTGAATCCTTCAGTCAATAGTGATACCATGTACATGGCCTCCCGTCTGGCAAAGGTTCCTGCTACCCCCTAATGACCCACACACCACTGAGAAGGAAATTGCTGCACACAATACGAATGAGTGACTAGACTGAGCATCTGGCTCATTTTCCTTCCCACTTGAAACATTACCTAAATAGTCTCCATTTCTTTCCTCATGTTATTTGAGTATGACTAATGGAAAAGTTTATTTTAAGAGTTGCTTTCACATATTTTGCATGGATATCTTTCTCCTCTCTACACTGACTGGTCTCCTCTTCCTTCTTTTTTAAATGCATTTTTTTGCTTTATGGGAAAAGAAGGAATCTAGCTAGTATTAAAGCCTGACAGAGACTCAGGGTTGGTTTGAAAAAGTATGCCTTTATATAAACCTATGGTACTATAGCTATAATGTAGCCCTGGTCTCCCAAGCACATCTCCTGAACGTGGCTAGTGGAGCAAAGCTGACTGGGAGCTGCTCAAGCTGGGAAAAGCCCCAGAGACGGTGACAGAGAGTCTTGCTTTTTTAAGGTAACAAGAGTAAGATGCAGGGGCTGTGTTCTACACTGGCTCATACTTGGATGCAAGTATAGGCAGCATAAGTCCTTAATGAAAACAGCATTTCCCTCATAAGGGAAAGCAAGCAGTAAGCAATTCTTTTGTACAGCCCAATCTTGCAGGTTTTTTTCCCAAGGAAATGGTAATTTTTAATTATAAAACACTTCAATATGACAAGATATAGATGAGATGTTCTTTACTTCACAGATCTTTAGTTTTGATTGTGATTTTGTCATAAGCATCGGCATAATTAGTTTTCTTCAGATATCCCTATCTTTCAGAATAATATGATCAGATGAGAACGAAGTATTTTGGTCTCTCTCTTTTTTTTATTATGAACAAACTTTGGAGCTCTATATAGGAGAGGCTAGTTTGTAAATGTAACCTCTGTTGGCTCAGAAAGAAGGCAGTGAATAAAGAAAAAGGAAATTAATTAAAATCCCTGCAATTATTATTTTTTTAATTATTTTGCTTTCTATAAAGTTTATTGTTTGTCTTGACTGCATATCATAGTACTGGATTTTTTAAATAGCTTGAATTTACACATTAGTCAAGTTAGACCTCAAGTGTCAGTGTGAGCAAGGAACAAATACACGTAATTTACTGATTCCGTCTGACCTGCTGTTACCATTCAAGCAACCGGCTCTTGCTGGGAAGTTCAGGGTTGATCACAAATGGGTGTTTTACAGAAAGCTCGTACTTCGTGCTCTGTTACATAGGAGGTCCCTTATCAAAGCCACTTTAAATATTCTTCTAGAAGAATGAATACACTTATGTAGAGAGTAAGTCAGGCACAGGGAAAAGTTCAAACAGGAGATGCTGTGTTTGTTTTACTCAGAGTATATATTAAAGAAAAAAAAGTCTTAAAAGGAAAATCACATGGATTCTTGGATCTAAGAATCTATTTCTGCTCCAACTGAAGTCAAAGGACAGGAAAAAAACGTTATTGTTAAATATCATTTGGATAATGCTTTGCTTATTTAGAAGAAACCTTCATTTAACAGTATCTACAGATATTTCACCAAAGCCACAGCTAACTATAAGACCGTTAAATTAAGAAAGCAAAATCATTTGGATTACTTTGCACTGATTGTACAACATGTTTTACGTATTCTAATATATTGACCTGCCTAAGTAATGGAGAGTGAACAACTCAGTAAACAAAGCCCCAAGAGATCTAATAAAATTGGGTCCCGACACACAACAGTAAATTACACAGGAGTTTCAGTACATGGAACAGCTTTTCACACAGTTACAATTTTTTTGCTAAGTCCTACTCCAGCTAAGTGTAGTAATTTGAAAGGCTTAGTAATTGATATTCCAGTTATGATAGATAAGAATTAAGAGGACCTCAAAAAGTCAAACTTACCAACTTTTTTTCCCATTCCTTATTAAGATCATCCACATAGGAGAGAACAAAATCAATTCTCCTGACACCGTCCCTGAAGAAAATAGAATCTTTGCTTTGATGTCTTTTATCAATCTGTGGAAGATATAGGCATATGATTAAAAAAACCAAGTATTGCTGTTGCTCTAAAATATAACAGACAAAGAAGTTTCCCCAAATTGCCTCAATTCTTCAGTTTCTTCATAGCTGAAGATATTCTTGGCAAGTTTTAACGAGGGCTATAGCCAGTTAAAATAATGTCAAAATTAACTGCTTATATCCACAAACACTACATGTAAATAACTGGTATATGAAGAATAAATGTATGTTAGTGTAGCAATACTTGTGAACAATGCTACCATTTATTCTTTCACAGTCTTTACAGTGTGTCATAAATGATCAAGACCAGTGTTATTTTACAGCATGTTTTTTTTCTGCAGTTAGTCCGAATGGCAGTCTACACAAAAGCCAGCTAAGGCACAGTTCATCAACTTGAAGCAGGTAGCAAAAAGTAAATTCCATGCATTTTCTTCTACATAACAGGACTCACTATATCAATCACCACAGAGAAATATGTCCCAGCAATGACCACGTATGGAAATAGCACACAAACAATACAGGGGTGATATTTCAAAATTGAGTATTTACTTTTCTTGGGGGGGGGGCGGAATCTAATAAAAGGTATGAATGCAACAGGATAAGAAGTATTCTAGTTGATCTATTAAAGGTCATATTTTCATTTATCAGCATGCCAGAATGATGTAATAACAACATTCATCTTTTTCACTGATCAGGTGACAGCAACTAATGTTAAGCAAATAGACGACCATTACCTTACTCTCCTAGGGAAGTTAACACAATATTAGGTAATATTATTATTATCATATCAGTTTTCAGCTCTACCGAATTATTTACAAGACTAGAGGTTCATACAGCAAAGTGCTCTCCACAGAAGCTGATACTCTGGTCTAAATTTAACTCCATGCTAAGAAAGGTTGGTGGTATTACCAGTTTTTTTTAACCACATCCATCAGCAGAAGTGTATTTGTATAGGACTGAATTGGGCTTTCATTTTATTAGAGTAGGAACAAAAAAAAAAGAATTAATTCGGAGGGTTATGCCTCTGTCTTCTCCCTCTTAAACCATGCAAGGATGCAAGTGAGAAAGTTCTCTGAGAAAGCACAGAATGTTTATAACTGTGAACCTTGCTCTCAGTTAACAAAAGGCATCACACAGTGAAGCATGTTATTACTGCAGCCATCCAAGCCACTTGCAATATCATTCATCACTGTTTTACCCTGAGACGTCGCTTCAGGAACAGCTTATATCTCCTTCCACTCTGCCGGAATAACCAACAAGAAGTTAGTAAGTTCATTGCTCCTCTCCAAGACCCAAACCAACTGCTTCGAGCACGTACCCCCAACTAAAGTTAGCAAGAAATCCATGTCCTTGGAAAAGCAAGGAAAAGTCTCCAACTATTAGAAGAACACAAGCACCCACAAACATTATGACTATAATGTCTTTTTTATTAAAAACAAAGCTGTGCTAGCATCCATTTTGACAATAAGCTCAGATGTTTTAAAATAATGACTCCTATAATGCTAATTGCCATCATTTGGATCCTTAAGCAGATTTAAAAAGAGAACAGTAAGAAAGTTTCTTTGAATGTAATGCAAAGGTAACAAAACAAGCACTGGCTAATCACTAGCGCACGCGTGTTGCTGTTGTGCTCAGGTTGGACCCACTGGGGCATAAAGAGACGAATGGCAATCATGTAATTCCAGAGATGACAGAATTACAAACAACAATAGCTGCATTTCTCTTCAAATTGGCTCAAAATTTAATTAAAAAGAAGATTAAAAATCCGTATTATCCCACAGGGTTGCACAACTTTATGCGTCTTCACTAGACACACTGGTAATTGGTAACCAGATAGTACCTTCTTGGACCATCCAAGCATCATGGAGACTTCCTGTATTTCTGAAGCTATGCTAAGCCTTTGCGGAGCTACAAAACACTGTGTTGCAAAGCAAAGTTACACAAAAAAGCTAAAAGAAATTACTTCCCGAAAATGCTGCAATCCTGTCTTTGCCTTCCCTCTTTGGAAATTCTGTTGGTTTTTGTTGTTTTTCTTCTTGAGAAATATTTACAGCAGATCAATTAAAGTAGACTACTTTGTAAGACTGAAATCAGGACAGCTACCTCAGAAAATGCTTTTGTTTCTGAATGCTGTACATAATCATGCAAGACTAAGAGCCTAACAAAAATCATCCAATAGAAGAAAAAAGAAAATAAACAGCATTTTCCTATTGTATTTTGTGCTTACAGGTGGGGTTTTTTTGTAAATATAATTATGACTACAAGCAAATTGCAACTGTTTAGATGTTAATCAAATGAACATAGTGCATAGAACCACACCGACATCTACACAGCATCAACAGTACTGTAACTATTCAGTGTTACAGTAAGTGAACCCCAAGGTACATTCTAACAACTTACAATTTTGGGCATTGGCCTAAAAACAGACCACCCCACCACTAATCTTAAAAGACAGAGATTGTGCAAACACAGAGATTGTCCTAGTGAACTAACAAAATCCATATACACAAAAAACCCCAATAAAGAGTATCTACTTCAAAAAAAGCTCCTGTCAAAGGAGCTTCCCGAATTCTTTGTGTAGCATACTTGTAACTAGATTATTCCATACAATTGAAGTAATACTTTATCTTCAGTGCCGTCAAAGTTTGATCATTTTCTAAGTCGTATCAGAATCCGACTCAGTCACGGAAGGTCTGACTATCAGTTAAAGAAGATGCAGTACTCATCATTGGATCTGCTTTGAGAACAGAATACTTATCGCTTCCCTCTCCTATACATAGGATTATTCATCATGGCTAGTGACAGACCTACTTATTAAACTCGTAAATTATTCCTTTCCATTTTGCTGCCTTTGGATTTCACATGAACAACAAGACCAGTCTTGCATATTCATGCAATTCTGTGCATACATGTGCACTTACAGGTTTAAAATACATAAAGTATTAGTAATTTGCATTGGTTGCATCAATGAATCATAAAACATTATGGCTTAGTACCTTATTTCTTAACAACTCTTTCCAGAACTGTACTCAAATTAATTGATCTTAGACAACCTGTAGTTATTAAATGAAGTTACGCCTCATCAGAGCTGATATTCTGTGACCTGTAACTTCTGGAATACAAGTAACCAAATTAAAACTTCCCAACGCAGCACAGATAGCAAGCAGAAGCTTTTGAATAACTGAATAACCCCCAATGAGGAATTACAGAAGAGGTGGAGCGCCGAAGCGTATGCTGAAGACTCGAGAGGGAACAGCCACAAGTTGCAACAAGGGAAATTCCTACTGGATGTGAGGGTGTGGTTGCATGGGAACAGGAACAACAGGTTTCCCAGAGTCTGTGTAATCTCCATCCTCAGAAATGACACAGCTTGAACAAGCAAGGCCCTGACTGAGCAACCTGATCTAAGTCTGAAGTCAGCCTTGCCTTGAGTAAGAGGTTGGCCAAAGAGACCTCCAAAGGTCCCTTCCAATACAAGTCACTCTATGATTCTATGAAGTGATGTTTCTGCACGTGTTCAGTGTTTACCAACGCTTCCAAGAAGCTGAATAAATCCATCAGCTACAAAGCAAGTTTACAAAAACTACTTGTGCAAAACCAAATACTGCCCTCCTGTTCTCCTGTCGTAATCTCCCAGTTTTAACAGTCACTATAAGTTTTAATGTTCTCTATAAGAGCTAAGCAACTTCATAGCCTGCAGATAGATAGGCTAACTGAACACTGTAATGATCTGTCAGCAAGAGCTAAATTTTCTTTTCACATGGCTACATAAGTGCAAACTTACTGGATTCATATGGAATTATATTAATATTTCTAGTTACCCCATAATTGATAACTTCTGTCTAGGCATGCAGCAGAGGTCAGGGTGTTGGACCACGTTCAACCAAGCAACCCTCCAAGTACCTAGACTTGCAATCCTCACATTAGACAGAAACTAAAGCCCTGCAGTAGGAAATCCTGACTCAAATAGGAGAGGTTACAGGAAAGGCCAAGGTGTCAGTATGGAAATAAAAAAAGCACAGCTCAAGATGAAGTAAGACTGTAACACCCCACGTTCGGTTCTGCCCAAACTGGGTTGGGTAAAGCATGTAAACGCTGGCTGGTGGCCGCACGCTACATTCAAACCCATCAAAACTCTCCTGCGCTGCTACATGCTGGATGAGCAGTCCTCGGCCACCTCGCTCCCACGAGCGGCTCAGATACGCTTCTCCAGGGCCAAAGCAAACAAGCCGGTCACCACGAACAGGAGAGGGGAAACCGAGCTGCTGGATGTGACATCAACACTGTAACAGAAAGTGCTTCAGAGGAGGGAGTTTGGATTGAAGTTGAAGAGACTGCGGTAAACATTTCGGTGGCCCTGCTCACCCACCAAGGCACGCAGACCGCTGACCTCGGTCAGTAGTCACTAGCCCTCAGTGGTCTAATGATATCACAGTGCCTGAAAAGCAAATATATTGTGCAGATCGTACCCGAATTATTTAATCCTGTGTATTTTGACAGGACTTGGAGGCATTTCTATTCCCGATCATCCACCTAACAGGAAATTTGTGTCCTTACAGGCTGCTCAGCACAGCTCTCGCCTTGTAGGCATCGGAGCTTCCTCCAAATACACCCTGCCACTAAATATCCCGGTCCGTACTTCAAAGATGGAGGAACGTGGCTTAGAGCAATACTTTTCACATTAATATTCAGTCGAAAAACTGCAAGTTTCTTAGGGGCCTACATTCAGTAACGCACTTCCAAAATTCAGTTCCTGGAGTTCAAGGTTTCAGAAGTGTCCTGCCCCGCAGAGCTGGGACTGCAGGTTCAGACCTCGGCATCCTTCGCCTTCTGCCTTTGGTACCTCAGAGCAGGAGATGGTTTAGAGCAGCAATTTCGGAAACAAAGCCCTAACCAACACCAATCCGAGGTGGAGGAACCCAACACGTTGGCTTCGTTAGAGTCATAGCAGAGTGAAGAATCTCCGGCTATGACTACCGGGTACGTGGAGATGTTACATCGATAACACCATCCCCGTCAGCATATCGAGGAGTTCTATCATCATAGTCCTACATTACCAGACAAGAAAACTACCTGAAATTCCAAGATAAAATTGATTTGCAACATTCTGCTTACTTACAAGATACAGTCAACGAACCAAATATTTTATTTACTGCATACCTTTGATAATCATACAAGCAAATCAGTTTTTATGACAGACAATGTAACAAACCAAAATAACTATATTACAAAGCAGTTAGTTCTTTTTTGAATTAACAATCCACTGCAGAAAAATTATCAGAATACAGACATGGATAAAAATACAAGGGTTTGAAAGCTGAATCTAAATAGAAGAAGAGCCTCCATAATTGCAAGGCTAGGAAACATTCAATGGCTTAAAAACAAAATTATCACCGCCACTTAGATTCCCAGTTCACGCAAAATATTTATATACCCTCCTTTTCACAGAATTAAACATACTTACAGCTACAGGAGAAATGTGCTGATTAAAGTGCCACTGTGCTAAATATAACCGTTCGATGAAATTTATTTCCACGAGCAAAAAGCTTCTGGAAATCCATTTCCACAACATATGAAAATATACAGGCACTCTACTGAAAATCAAAAAGGCAAATTCCTGGTTTATGCACAGTAAACCCAGTTCCTGTTAGACCAGAGATCCCCTTTGCATGACGTTCTCGTCAATGTTCTTCCTTGGAGGAATCCACACAACTGAAGTGCTTACCCACTTCAAAGAAGTGTATTAACACCACACATCCCAGTTACACTTCATGCAGGCTACAAAGTTGCATAAAAAACTATAACATTTCCCATTCAAAGAAACATAAAACCGCAGGTATTTCCTGTAGCTAGAACTTGCAGGCTACTTTTTGCACCTTTACCACACTTGTGTTTGGATTTTGAACCACATTAAAATCTGAAAACTCATAAACATGCATTTCCAAGCAGTTTAAGACATAAAGATGTTTTTACTAAAATTTAAATACACAGAAAAAGCCTCACTGGATAAAAGAGCACATTAAACAAGAATAGAACAACGAAAAATAAAAAATATGCTAAGAGAGCGTATGTGTTAATGTAAGACACCAGAGCCCAATGTAAGCAAGCAGACAGTTTTAACATACCTCAGCATGTACTTCTTCAGTTATCTTAAATGAGTTTTGGTAATTTTTTTCTCCATAAAAAAGTTATTTTAATTTTTCTGATGTATTTGAAAGTTAATACAATTATCTTGTCTGT